CAGCTGTGGGATAAATAAATTATTAGTTTCATCACATGAATGAAACCTTCCAAACTTATGTCAGGTTTTTACCAACTACTGCACAAGGAAAAATAGAAAATTTTATAGTAGCTGAAATAAGCTCTTATACACATTCTAATTACCCAAGTCCTAATTCCAATAATTAAAATGGAAACTTGGGTTTAAAAGCTATGTAAGGACCTTTGAATCTGCACTCATTAGATAGCTTGAGACTGATTTTTTTCAAGCTTAATGAGCTTTCCTTAGGCATTTACCATTTACCATAATCGACCCTGCTTTGCACCAAGAAAGCAAAGAATTGAATTGTGAATTATTTCATTGTCATCTAAGAACATTATATATAGCATACAGACATTATACAAATTGTCCAATTTCACTGATAATTAAGTTATTCATCCCTTAGAACCACCGTAACACTTAAAGTTTATTGTATAGATATGGAAATTGGGGTTGGCATAACATTTTTTATGTGCATATCTTCCATTTTATAGCACAAAAACTGATGTAAAATATGACTTGTTCACGGTCAGCACAACTGAGTTGGAAGGTTAAAAGCTCCTGGGATGCACGAACATCCTGTCTTCAGAATCTTTAAATTCAGAGTATTTACTGAGGGCTTAATGTGAATTGAGCACACAGTTTCAGTTAAAGCTGTCTCTGGGTGATAGTCCACACAAACGATCATTAGATATTACTGCAGTGAGCTTCTCTTTAATAAGTGGTGTCTGCATGAAACCTCACTAAAAATGAAACCTGTGGTCTAAATAAATGCCTTGAAATTTCAGCTACATCTAAATGTCCTTGATCACTTTTTCCCCATATATCATCAGAATTTGAAGGCAGAACATGTTTGGCAAACGCTGCAAAGAGGAAAGTATAGATGCCTGGAATAGAACCATTTTCTGCTCTATTTTGAAGGATAAACATTTGGGAAGAAAGACTCTGGTGAACTTCATCATTCTATAGTTTAGCACAGGATGATTTTTATGAGTTTAAGAACTTACTGTAAAATATAAAGTGGAAATTTAACCACATATATGGACACTCAAACATTTCAGTGTCTTGTGAAAGGTGGCCCCTAAGATAACCAGATTTGTTGACAGATGTACAATCTAGCTGGCACTCAATCATCAGTTGCTGGAGTTTTGCAAATAAACTGGTCTTTACATGGACTGTATTAGTTACATCTTCCCTGGATGCCTCTGATGCTGATCAATAATGAAAGTACCTTCTAGGTCTTCAAACACACAAATGTATATGGTGTACTATTTTTTTTTTAAATTAATTTCATTTGGGACATTCAGACGGTCATTTTCACATAATGCTTTATCTGGAAAATGTACATTCTTTCCATCATCGGAATCTGCTTCCTTAAAGATAGCTGGAGCAAATAGTTAGATAAACAATATTTGATAGAACAACAAAGTGTCTATAATAAATAAGTTGAGGAATACTTTAAAATAACTAAATGAATAGAACTGGAATGTTCCTAACGCAAAGAAATGATAAATGCCCGACCTGAGAGACAGCCCAATTACCCTGATTGGATTAACTGACACTGTATGTCTGTATCAAAATATCACATGTACCCGATAAAGATAAAGAACCATTATGCACCCATAATAATTTTTAAAATTTAAAAAAAAATTTTAAAAGATAGCTTGACAAAATCAGAAAATAATCACAATTTAATGACTCTTCCTATTTGAAGTAGATTTGCTAAAACCAGCATCTGCTTACCTTATTTTAGGAATGTGCGGCAGAAGCAGCGAGTGAACACTGCCCAGCAGTGCAAATATTATATTTGAAAATCTACTTTTATACAAAAGTGATAAAACTTTTAAATAACATATTCCAGGGTCATGTGGTGATGACTTTTTTTTACCCAAGGAGACATGATGTAGTGGAAAGGGAATGAAGGGGCGCTGAAGGTTGAGTTCAAGGGCAGATCACCTGGCAGCTGAAATGCACTGAGATGCGTCCACCCAAGTACCATGTGCCCAGCTGTACACTTGTCCCCTTTCAGCTTCCTCTCGTCCACCCAAGTACCATGTGCCCAGCTGTACACTTGTCCCCTTTCAGCTTCCTCTTCTATTCTCATTGGCAACTATTTAAAAATCTTTCTTTTAGAATTCCCTTCTCATTTCCCTCATTCTCAGCAGGCCACTCTGTCCTCTGATTAAGGCCATTAGTAAAATCCTTTACCTTCCAGCTCCACTCCACTGTCTACAAACACAGGGGTTTCTTTTCTCCCAGGATAAGATCTCAGTCTTATTCAGGGCCAGCCAGGTCAAAATGCTAGGCCTCTTCCTCCCTGAGTGGGAGTCAGGTCTGTCCCAGGCTCCTGCAGAAGAGAATCTCCACCCCCAGCACATAACACACTACTGGCATAGCAAGTCCCACAGCTTCTGATGTAGATCCCTCCCCCTGCCCCACTTCCCCTTCTCATCTTTGTATCCTTGGCACCTTTCATGAAGCCCAGCAAGCACAGGTACTCAGCAAATATGTGTTGAATCTAAACTACTCACTTCTAAGCATGAGTTATTTCCAATAGCTTAAACCGGAGCTGAGCTTGTCCCAGATTGTCTGCAGGACGGCATGGCATATGATTTCTGCTCCACTTTTGTTTTTTCAACCCATAAATGACCCAAAAAGGAGGAATGAAACATTTCCAGGTTGCCAGAAAAAAATACAGGCTGCCCAGTCTGAACTGAATTTGTGATAAACAACTAATTATTAAAAAATATTATATCTCAAATAGTATATGGGATACATTTATATTACAGACAATTCACTGTTTTATCTGAAATTCAAATTTAACGGGGCAGTCTGTATTTTTATTTTCTAAATCTGGCTACCCTAACAGTGACTTTTAAAAAAATTCTCATAGGCCTCGGGGAATGCTTCCTCAGGGTACCTGGAGGTTCGTATCCAAACTTCTTGGTTGTCCAGATTTTATGTTTGTTAAATGACACCGGGTTTCTTTCTGAGCATCTCAGAAACATACTTTAGGAAATCTACTTATTATATAATGTTTATACTACCTATCAAGAATTTAAACACAACGAATACTGTGATGTTCAAAATCTCTTGGAAAGCTAATATTTATAGATTTGTTACTATGCCTAAGTTAACTCCTAGCTGCATGTATTGGTAATTAACAATTTTTGAAAGTATCATTTTTTACTTAAATCGGCAGAACACAGTAACAGAAATAAGCAAATCTTTCATTTTGGAATTTCTTTTCTTCTTTAATCAAGCACAGCAATACGCACTGTCCTCACTAACAGGCTGGCAAAAGCAGCCTGGCAGGCGGGGGTGGAGCCTGTGACGAACCGCAGGAGGTCTTTGTTGAAGACGCCCTCCCTGAACGTGGAACATCTGTAAATTGAAGCACTTTGGCTTCACCATGAATGGGCAGGCAAGAGAAAAGAGTTTCTCAGCATCTTGTACTAGAGGCTGGAAATTTTGGTCCACAGAGGAATTCCTTATAGGTTCACTAAAAGGGGAAACACGGGCTTTTTCTGCAAAGGAGGATCATCCTTGAATACTGTGTGTACCAGTTTACCAGTTAGCGGTGCTGGTGCAATGGAAGTTATAAACCAAAGTATAGGGACAGGTCCTGGACAGCCTGTCCCATTCCCGAAAGTTCCCTACACTAATGGGTTTTCTTTCAGTGTTCTGGACAGTGAGGACGTCTTCAGAGAAGACATTCATTTCTTATTCCCATGATAGAGATTAAGAAGAGACAAACACCTCCCAATGTACAAGAGTGTGCCTTTGCCAAAATTTCAGGAAGCCTGACCTCAGGCAGGTCCCTCTGGGGAGGGAATGGCTGAGTCTGCCGTAACTACGTGTTGGCATAAGATGATAATGATTTAAGACGTTGATCCCAGGACAAGCACACTACCTGCTTTCCACCATATTGGCAGCGCCAGGGAAGGACGACTGTCAAGCTGCCCGCACAACACGCAATGCGCTGCGGAGACGCAGAACAATGCCCGGATGCCTGCCCAGAGCCGGTCTCTCCAAGTGACAGTCCCAATTTATGATACTAACCTAAAGCTCGGTGGGAGTCAGGAGTGTCTTTTTCCTCCTTGGTGGGTTTGGAAAGGGATGAAATGTGGGAAGCTCAGGGCACAGGCTGGGGCTTCCGCCTGCCTGCGCAGAGCAGTAAGACGGACATGCATATTTATTAAACTTGATCTGAAGCAAGCGAGCCTGCGAACCGTTCCTGAAATATTCATAAGGTGTGTTACCGGATTCGCCACTTACAGGTTGAGCAGCACCCCGCGAGTAGGAGCAGTCGGCGCCCACAGCACCCCCACCACCACACTGCGCGGCTCTGCTTTTAACAGCTCTGTGGGCTGTCGCTCCCCACTCGCCTGTTCAATCCCACCTGTCCAGAAAAGAGATTCTCTAATAAGTGCGGAGTCCCCCGCAGTTGGCGGAGGCGCAGCGCGCCAGCCCCTGACCGCTCCTCTCGGCTCGCAGCGAGGAGGACCCCGGCCTGGTCCCACGGCCCTGCACCCCGCTGCCTCGCAGCGCCCTCGGGGCCGAAGCCAGAAGGGCAGGGGGTTTCCCAGGACCCCAATCGGCCACGCGACCCGGCCGGGCTGCCCTTCGTCCCTGCCTCCCATTTCGGCCTCCTCCTGGCTCCCTCCCGCGGAGCTCTCGGCGGCGTTCAGTCGCTAGGCGACTACGCGGGGCCGAGATGCGAACAGCCTCTCCCGCCCATCTGCAGCCCCGAGGGTGCTAACTGGGGGGACCGGGTGGGGGAGAGGATCTCAGTCCTGGGTGACCCGGCGTCCCTGCACGAGGCAGGATGTACTTTCATTCATGTCCCCTTCTGCCCATTCCCATTTTTGCGGCGGCCCAGACGCAGCCGCTGGCACGAAGCCTCGCGTCCTCGCGGCCCCCTCGCTCCTTCCCAAGGGCATTTCCTCTCGCCCTTCGGCTCCTCTCAGGTCGCCACTCACCTGGACTCGGCGTCGGCCGCTCAGCAGCTCCCGGCGCGGGGCGACGCGGGCTCCATCCCCGCCTCCCCAGGCACCCGGCTGCGCGCTCGCTCCGCGGCGGCGACAGGCGCGGTGGGTCCCGGCGCGGGGCTGGACAGGGCGGCCGCGGCTGCCGCACAGGCTGCGAGCGCGGGCGGGGCGGGGGCGGGGGCGGGAGGGAATCTGGGTCGCGCGGAGCGGAGCGCGTCGGGAGGCCCCGGGCGCCGGCGGCGGGAGGCGACCGCGAGCAGCCGGGGAGGGCGCGCCGAGGTTTCCCCGGAGCCGGCGCGGGCGGCGACTGAGCATGCCCAGTCCGGAGCCGGGAGCGGGCGCGGCGCCGGGGGAGGGGGCGGCCCGGGCGGGTGTGCGGGAAAGGGTTAAATCTGCGGACCCCGCTGCCCGGACCGAGGGCAGGGGGCGGCTGCAGCGGCGCAGTTTAATGGCACTGGCGTCTACCTTGATGACCTGTCAGTGGGACTCCCAAAGAGTCCCGGGCGAGGTGTGTTCCCCACCCTTCCCTGGGGAATTGTCCAGATGTCAAAGTTTGTTTTTAGTTCAGAGTACCGAGAGCCTCCAAGTGCAGAGACCCGCCGCTCACCTGCCTCCTGTGCCTCCGGACCTCGGCCGCAGGGTGACCAGGCGGCCCCCGCCCTTCCCGGTCCTGGACCAGTCGGGTCAAGTTCTCAAAGAGCCAGCTCTGTAATTAGGTGTAATTGAGAGATCGTGTCAATCCTCCCAGGTCCATATCTGCATTTCAACAAGGGCTTCAAAAACAATACCTTCACCCGGGGTTAATTATAATGGGACGTGTTATAGACACCGTGCTCCCGGCTATTCGGGGAACACTGCTCCGCAGGACAACAGGGCTGGCCCTAGAACCCACTTTCTGCACGCCACGATCCTGTGCCTTTGGGATTGTATTTCATGTTTGATGAAGAACGTTTTCTCTATAGCTAATCATGGGATTGGAGAAAGAGGATGAGCTTCGAGGTCAGCGCTGATTTCGGTTTTATTTATCACTCCAGGCAGGGTACCCAGCCATTCTGGGCCTCTGTTTCCTCAACTGTAAACTGGGGGGTGGTAACTCCTACCTCTGTGAGCTGTTTGAGGATTACGCAGGAGCTGGGGGCAAAGAGTGTCCCGGGTCCCCAAAGCACCTGTCACCTAGCAGATGTCCCCTTAGTCTCTAGGCTCCACTTCCATTATTGCGACTTTATGATAGGTTGGGTTAGTGATAAACCCTGAATGATGACATCAAATGGCCTTAAAAGACTTGATCTTTCTGATTTTTTTTTATCGTTATTAAAATCATCAGCCACTATTTACTTTTCTTTCCACACTCCAGTTTCTTTATGCTTCCTTGAATAAACCTCTTGGGAAAAGCTCCACCAAGGCTGCATGTGAGGCCTTTTGCAAGGAACAGCTTCTGGGGAGAGATGGACTTAGTAACCCGTTTATCTGCCTGATAAAACAATTTTACTCCATAGTCTTTTGAAAGTAATTTTATGTACTTGCATCTCCCTGTGGTCCTTGTTTCATAACTATTCCATGAAGTAACATATACCTGTATGGAAGAAATTTGCTTCCCACCTGTACTGTCCAGTGTAAGGTTTCAACTTTTGGAAGATAAACTTTTCATTATTGCCCAAATATACTATTTTCTTCATCACACTTTGCTTTAATCATAGTCCACCATTTCTGAAATAGCATTCTCTTTCCATTCAAGGTCACTGTTCAAGGTCGAATGCTTCCTTCTCTCTGAAGCCTCACCCTAAACCTCAAGGTGAACTTGATGCTGTGTTGTCCTAGCACCAGTGGATCCTGCTACCCCAGCACCCACAACAGTCTATTACTACTATTGTAAAACTATTCAGCGAGCAGCTATCATCTTCAGGTACCATTCTAAGTGTGGGAAAGCAACAATGAACAAGGCAGACAAAGTTCCTGCCTTCATGGAACCTACAGTTTAGTTGAAAAGACAGGAGATAGGGTAGCGCCTGTGGCTCAGTGAGTAGGGTCCCGGCCCCATATACTGAGGGTGGTGGGTTCAAACCCAGCCCCAGCCAAACTGCAAAAAAAAAAAAAAAAATAGCCCAGCATTGTGGTGGGCGCCTGTAGTCCCAGCTACTCGGGAGGCTGAGGCAAGAGAATCACCTAAGTCTAAGAGCTGGAGTTTGCTGTGAGCTGTGATGCCCCAGCACTCTACCGAGGATGACAAAGTGAGACTCTGTCTCTAAAGAAAAAAAAGAAAGAAAGAAAAAGATAGGAAATAAACATCTAAACTATAAATAATCACTAAGAACAGAGATCAAGTTTTTTTTTTTTTTTTGTCTTTGTGTCATCCATCGAATGAATCTATAGGGTCTTGATTCTTCCCTGCAGAAAACGTCAATAATAATGTTAATATTTGCCTGATGCTCACCAAACTGCAAGGGGATAGATCCCTGCCAGTTTGTTGCTGCACCAATGATTTTTACCCCTTTCCCTTGATTTCTTCAATTAAAACTGTGCTAACCCTGAATCACTTTAGGTTGGTACCTGCAATCCCGGGTGATGAATGCAAGGTAATGGGAGAGGGCCAGGGAGTTTAATCTCCACACCAGATTATATCCCTTCTCCTGCCTCAGGAGTGGCATTTCTCCAGGCTCAGCCTGGATCTCCGGACCTCCTACATCCAAACATCTCTTCCAGGACCTTGCACTGCTCTCACTCCCTCGTCTTCTCACCACCTTTGGGCTCTATTTAAGTCAGTGGTCATTCTCTGTCATACCCCATCTGACTGTCTGTTCTACTTACTGTCTGACAGTCTTCAGCTTTCCTCTGAGCGTGAGGCACCACTCAGAACCCACTTTTCCAAAGCACATCTCTGCTCCTGTTTTCCACAGCAACTTCTGACAACCTTGCCATTGTTTAATGCGAGCAACTCCGGGCAGGGTGTCATTCATTCTTGTTACAAAATTTAGCAGGTGGCCAGTATGTAATAGATGTTTAATGGATGTTTGTGGAATGAATGAACGCAGGTTATCAACTCCATTTGCCTCCTTGGTCCATGGTTCTTTTCTGATCGGTCTTCCTACTAACTCCAGTGTTGGTTTACCAGGATTCGGCTCAATTTGCCCTTTCCTTATTTTTCTTTAGCCACAAATCCACAGATTTTCCTACTTCTGAGTTCTGCATTATTTTTGTATTTAAAAAAAAACAAACCTATTTAGCAGATTAACATGCAATCAACAGACAGGGTAAGTTGAGGAAACTGAGATCATGGGATGTAACTTTACAAGTAATGTGTAGAGAATCCACAGAGGAGGATATTGTGAGTCTAAAGCCTGCGCAAAGTTACAGCAGCAAGGCTGAAGAGGAAGGGGAAGAGCCAGAAGATTCTGGAACCTGCTTAGACTCCACATTGGCCCATTACAAGTGACACAGAGTTTGGCTCTTTTCTAGACAGGTGGATATACTTCCTTGCTCAGGCAATCTCTTACTAAACACTATCTTTAGGAATTTATTTAAATAAAAATGTCCCCACCCAGAGGTTTCTTTCTCTGACAGAGTTAGATTGAGCAATGGAAAAGTCGGAATTTCCTTCCTGGATTATTTTGTGGGTGGGGTGGAAGTCATGGCCCATTTATTTATTTTTAATCTAGCTCTGGTCATAAGCACTGTGACTTGAAGAATTGGTAGCAGGAAAGTATTCTTAGCACAGTTGAACTAGAAAGGAGCCTCTAGACTTAAACAGTCTTCGATGTCATCTAATTTTGCTTAATTGTTGTACAAAGGTGAGAAATCGATATGTATAAGGCCACTCTGCTTTCCAGTAGAATAGGTTTTATAGGCCTAGGTCTGGATACAAGACTGATGTGGCAGTTGCACTCAACATGCCCATTAATATCTATAGTGATAAAATTGTGCCTGGGATTCCGTGAGAGTTAATCATTATATCAGAGAATGCTTTAAACCAAATAAACTTAAAAAGTCTTAGATGTCATCTAATTTTGCTGTGGTATTCATTCTCAAAATGTGATCTAGAGAGGGTTTCCACCAGCTCAAGGATGAGTCCAAAAGCAATTCATTTAATAATCCTCTATTGAGCAGCTAGTAGATATATGTTAGATATTGGTGATAAAAAGTTGGATATCGTCTGGGCTCTTGAGGAACTCATATCTGGATAGAAGTATAAACATACACACACATGCAAACACATAATATAGGCTTTCTTAAAAGGCTTATTTTCAATAATTAAATTGGATTATTTATCGTGTATCCAGATAATTAAATCTGGATAAAGCCTCCTTCTTTTCTTATCTCGGTTGTCCAGACTCCTCTCTGCCTGGTTTTGGTTTAAGATCTCATTCCCTCATGAAAATACAGGTCACAAACTTCTGTGAATGATGGTGCTCAGGCCTCACTCTTCTCAGACAAGTCCACAGAAGTTTAGTTACTCTTTGAAAGAAACTGATGTCAGACAACAGGGTAAAAGTTTGAATATTTTGTGACCAATACAGCATATCCTGTTCCTACTTGGAAATTTTAATGGGCCAATCTTGCAGTGGCATTTCCAGATGGGCAGCCTCCACCAAAGGTGTTAACTTCAGTAAGTGCCAGCTTCTATACTAGAATTTATTTATAAGTAGAAAATTTACATTTCTGAAGGCATAAAGATCAGCCAAGGTCAGTGAATGGGAGAAAGTTTACGCTCCTCTGGGTCTATGAAAATCAGGCTGTGGATCAAATTAAGAGCTGTTATTATTTCTTCTCCAAAACTGATGGTACTTAGCTTGAAGTGAAACTCTTTGGGGAAAACTCTGGAATGACCAATCGTCTATTTTGATGGCAAAATAAACTGGACAAACTACCCTGGGTGACAAATCAAAAATGCATCATTGAAAATGAAGTAACCAGTTATGACCCGAGACACATAAACTAAGTGGCATGTCACTTACTTTGTAAGTGGTGCTGGGCTAGACAAGGCTGTGTGAGGCATTTTCCTTAACAGTCAAAACCTGCCAAGTGCTTAGGCCTCAGCAGCAGTGTCAAGGGAGCTCGGACACACCGAACATTTAAACTGCCCATTGCTGATCCTAAGCTTGAAATCACCTTCAACATTGTTTTAAGTGAGATCGTGAATTTTGCTATGTGTAATTAAAGATTGCTCATGAAGTCATGGCCCTTCTGGTGGTCAGGTTTGAAGAAATCAAGGTCTAGGACCAGTACCTAGACCTCAGTCCATCCAAGTACCCCCTACTTCTGTCATTGACTTGGGGGATGCAGTTAGGAAGGCTATAACCAGCAAGCAGAG